GAGGATCAGGGAAGAGATGTGGGAGATTCCCCAGATTCTAGCAGAGAAAGATCTGTGGAAAACTTCCATAAATACCACAAGAAATCAAAGTATGCACAATTGTTCTGTACTTGTATCTACCATTATGATGACATAATCATCTTGCACTATAAACAGCTGCATGTAAAGAATTTGCTTGCATGATAATCCTTGTGCAGGAAAAGCAAGAAGAAGAAGAAACGTTCTCGCTCCACTTCATCCTCATCTTCCTCATCCTCCAAATCTAACAAAGATGAAGGCTTACCCCAAGAGAAACCTGATTCAAAAAATGGAGACTTTAATAAAAACCGACTGGGCCAAAGGGAATCATCAGGTTCAGCTGAAAGTGGACATCCACATGGAGGATTTGTAAGACCAATAAAAAGCTTGATTTGTTGTAATATCTGCAATATAATGTAAATTTATAATTTACATTATACATTATATAATTTATTATATTATATAATTTATATAATTTATAATGTAAATATCCCATCATAGACAGTTTGCTATGTATCGCTATGCATATTTTGAGCATCTTTTCTTTTTCTCCAATTATAGCAAGTAAGAATACGTGGAAGGAACTGGAGCAAAGGGAACTATCAGGGTAACATTTCACACAGTAATCCTGTAAGCATGGTTGTACACCAAAAAAGTGAAGACTGGAACCCAGAATATACTCCCAAGAGCAAAAAATATTACTTGGTAAGGTTTTCTCATTCCTTATCTCTTTCCTTATTTTGTCAACCTTGATTTCTGAAAATATTTAGATGCTGTGTTAAATGTAAACAATAGAAGCATATAATTATTTGCCAAACATTTAAACTGCACATCTAGTGAAAACTGAGGGTCTGAAAAAAATGCTGAACAATACATACAGGTTTTGAAGCAATGTATGGTTGGCTTAATTTAGCAAAACAGCGCCGAACCCTATTCTGTTTATTAATAGCAGCATGGCTCCACAGTAAACAAGTCCCGGTGCTAAAGCGGCCTGGCTGCATTCCACATCTATTCGTCCGACATATGGAGCATTATGAAGCCATGAATATGACTAAGGAGGACTAAACTGTTGACCAGCTGGAATTATATATCAAGCAGCTGCCAAATGCTTAGAAGGGTTGTTAAAAGAAGAGGTGATGCAAATGGTGGTAAACATGTCCCTGTCATGATTTTACTACATTGTTGGCATCAAATTCAAAATGTGAAAATCTGTCCATTCAGCCATCCATCAGCTTAACCATTTATACCTCAGTTACATTGGGTTATAGACCTGCCAGTAACTTCATGGCAACCACTGGTCACTGTGGAAAAATGTGCATTCCCCAACAAGTTAACAAGTGGTTGCTGGTGTCATTGTGAAATCAGTTGCTAACGACCCAATCATGCAGGCCTAGAGCAGAGTCGTCAACCCCTTACCTCACCAGGGAAGAAAATTTATCTTCTCTGGCTAGTTGGTGAGTGGTTGCATGCAGTCACTCAATGAAAGTAAAGGTGCTTTCAAAGAAGGCATGGTGCCCTACCAAACAGCTTTAGCCTTGTTCTTATGTTATTGTATTGCATTTTGCACACCTCTGTTGCTTATGAAGCTTGCACACAAGAATTTCACTCGCATGTGCTGTACCAGTGTACCTGCACATGTGACATGAGAATAAAAAGTGATTTGATTTGATTTGGCATTATGAAGTTGCCACGGTGACCTGTAATTTGCCCGCCAAACCATAAAGCGACTGCTAGCTTAGCAGTAGTGAAAAGTGTAACAAAAATCCAGAAACATCTGACCCTTAAAAGGAAAGTTGTTCTTGTTCTTCAGGTTTGCATTGCTCTTTTTCACTACCACTCAGCGAGTAGTAACAAGTGTTCAGTCTTCAATGCAACTATGAGAAATTGCTATAGTCTGCTAGTAACCATAAGGATCACAGGGAGATTTCTGGTGTAGCACCCTCTTTGTGGCTGATTTTGCCTAGCGACAGCTAGCAGCCTGGTTAGTGAATAAACTGACTACTCTCTCCTTTGAATGGTATTTAGCTGATCATATGGCTAACATAGATTTTTCAAAAAACTGTTTTTCAGCTTCAGCATTTAATGTGTTGAATTTGAGCCTTGACATATGTCTCTCACATTCTCCCACATTTTTAGCACGATGACAGAGATGAAGAGTCAGAATGCAAGTGGACAGACAATCGAGGTCGAGGGAGGGGAAATTTAACTCGTGGAAGAGCGAGGTTCCTTATCCGCAAAGCCACTGGGGGCCCCAATATCATCTATCCAAAATGGGGCCTCGATAAATTCCAGGTCAATGACGAGCAAGGTGGCATGCAGAGAGAAGAGACAGAACAGGACCATAAGAGGGCAGAAGTTGATGGAGAGAACATCTGAGCAGCAAAGGAATCTGCAGAAAATCTTATCTTTTGTGTTCTCACAAGATCTGACTGAGTGATTTTATCCAATGGATCAATAAATGCAGATTAAATGTTTTAAGATATTCCTATGAAACATATTACTTTAATTTCACTTCTTCAGACTTGACACAACCATTTCCTACATCAAGACTAGTAAAAGCGCTGTTTAAGAGTGAAATGCAGTTTCTTGTCAAGTTTAAAGTTTTATGCTTTTGCTTTATTTTGGTAAATTGAAATCTCTTTCATGCAGCATTATATTAATATTTACACTTTTTTGGTTTGGATGGTTAGAAAATAACTTGCATTTTTGAATGAACACAAAAAAGAACTGCACATTTTTGATCAAATCAGCTAGGCAACAAGATAAATTATTGTACTGCAAATATATTAAAATCTAATTTAATTTGCAAACAGTGACTATATGTTATGTTTTTATGAGCTATGTCTCGGCAATAAGTATGTTGTTGGTGATGACATAAAACACCACAGTCCAGCCAATTTGGCAGAAATAACACTGATCTGACAATGGGACCAAACTGCACAGGGTCATAGATTGTGCCCTGTAGTCTGTCATTATAAAGCATACAACCATTTTACAGCACTAGCTAAAAGCCTTTTAACAAGCTTGTGAAACATTTTACTATCCGAATAGTAGCTTTAGCTTGTTTTTGGATACCACTTTAGTGTACAATATTGATAGTGATTTTCTTTCTGCAAAGACTTTAATTTTGGTATTTGTACTTGGCCACGCAGGATTCTGACTTCGATTGTAACAGAGAATTTGTTTTCACTGCTATAGATTGTATTGTCATTTTTATGTTTGCAAGCTTTTATTTAACCAAACAGGTTTTAGCAGTGATGCTAACTGTGTGCAACTGCTAACGCAATGAGAGAAGTAGTTAAAAGTTTTAGTCTAGAGTCTATCCAAGTTTGTAAAACAGAACAGGAATGTTTATTCTGTGCATATCAATGTTATTTGTTTCTAGGCTCATTTATGCAAGTGAAAGTATACCTTGCTGTGGGTGCACTGGTCTTACTTGCGTATGTTATAGGCCTACAGATTAAAATTTTAAGGTTGACTTCTTAGGGAATATTGCATATTTTAAATAGTTGTGGTCACTGTTTTTGTTTTCTTAGAGACTGTAAATTAAAGAAACACTGATTACTTTGACATTTGTCTGTATGTGTCTTTAATTAAAAAGCATCTTTACAGTCTTTTAGCTTATCATTATTTACCACTGTCTATGGAAATGATAGTGCTCCCAGGGTCCACACACCATGGGGCTCTTAAACATACTTAGGCTGGCTCATGAATCAATAAGAAGTACCTATTGTTGGTGTGGCCTAAAAATATTATGTTTGTGTGCTATGAGTGAACCACACTTTGCACTTTACTTTCATAATATTGGTAAGAGCCTATCAGGGTGGAGCCGATTTGGTTACAACCCTTTTTTTTTTTTTTTGACTAAAGGCCAAAATCACCTGCTTCAATCAAAGCAATCAAATCCCTGTAAGTCACTGGGAGTTGAATAAACAACAGCCTAAAGCTACAGTGTGCCTGTGCACATCCCATCCAACCAAACCTATCAACCAATTACTGTTTCAGAGCAGGTTGAAGTCAAAAGTGACTGGATTCACCAAGTAAAAAGTGTCAGTTTGTACTAATTGATTCATTTTTCACCACTACAGTGAAATAAAAAAATATTAAGGCACTAAATATAAAGTAAGGATGTTTTAAATACTATGGATATTTGTCATTCAATGATTAGGTTAATACAACATTCTTTAAAAACAAAGCCTAACTCCATGCTGTCTCTGCCCAGTTTCTTCCTGTTGCTCATATTATTTGGTTGCATAGTGGAGCTCTTTGTCACACTGATAAATAGTGACTGATCAGATACCTCCCTGGCTTGGCTAGAGTGGGATATTCGTCCAAAACGTTCCCTAAACATTTGGATAGTGCGCAACTCAAACTCCCCCACTGGTCTAAGTGAAGTTGGAAATAATGATAACTTGACTTGTTTGGCAACATTCAAAATGGAAACTGAGGAAGTAATGGAGCTCATCTTGTCTGTTGACTAAAGCCAGTGACCTATTAACTGCGTTAAAGGAAAAGATAAGGGTCTTTGTTAATGCAACTAACTTACATTATATAAAAAGCAATCACAGTATATTTTGGCTGTAACCCTTGTTTGCTGTAAATCTCCTGCCACTTAACCTTATGGGGTAAAAACGTTATTATTACTACAAAATTATTACTACAAACACATTTACAGTTGTGGTTTAGTTGAGTTGGTTCATCTTCTGGGAAAGCCTGAGATTATTGGGTGGGGCAGTACAAATGACAGTACAGCTGACTGGAAGTAAAATGCACTTGTGTGGCTCATAAAGTCTAACTTACATAGGCAAATGTTTTGCTTGCTGCACATTAATTATGCTGTCATTCTCATAAGTCTCACTTATCAGAGTTACTCTTTCACTAGAAACCTGTCTTACCTGTTCTTCTGCCTTATTTTCTCTCTCCTCCTTCTCTCTCTCTTGACTGTCTGACCCACTCCTACTTTTTGCTGTTGATTTAACATGACTAGCCGCAGGAAAAGTTGCTCAATGTTAATGTTTGACAAGTAGGAAGAAGGTCCTTCGTTGCCATATCGAGCAGCGTTACACACACACAGCCACACTCTTTCAGTTCTCCTTCTACTCAAAGAGTTTGTTTGCTGCTTCGTAGAGGGATTACATATTCAAATCAAAGGGAGATCGAATGAAGGACAACCATGGGTGAGTCAGCATTATCAGTTTTTTCTTAATAAACCAACGTCATGTCTGAGTATTTTGACTAACAGTTGCCTTTTTGCTGGGAATTCGTGGCAGTGGTAAAGAAAAGCTGCGAAGTACTGACAAAAGTAATGGATTTGTATCTGCTTGAAATGCTCCTCCAAGAATTTATGTAATGTACCTGACATGTACAGGCATGCAAAAATACGAAACCTTACTCTACAGATACTAGAGTGTGTACGTTCTAGCTCTTGCACAGACTATATACAAAATTTGTGTTTGCTAAACAATTAGGGAAAACCTGTTTTTACATACATCCAACATAACAATGCCACACTTTCAGTTCTTTTAAGAATCTCTAAAGTTCTCTTTATATTTAGGAAAATAGTGACAACACGAATAGTTGTTTCACTTCTCTGTGATAAATGAAAACTAAGCATTTTATCTGTAATAATCCACATTCAAGCTCATATTTGTTTCTAGCCTCCACTGCTTAGGGGTTTGTCTTGGTTTTTTAAGATGTCAGGGCACATCACTTGTGAGACAAGTTACACCAGCCTTTGTGCAAAGAATCTAATTTTCTGCCCCATTTACGGATGCGCTGTAGAGGTGCTGGTGCTAATCGACTTTGAGAGCAACTCCGACGACGAGCTCACAGTGAAGGAGGGGGATGTGGTCAAAAATGTCACCAAGGCCAGTGAGGAAGGATGGCTGCATGGGGAGCTGAGAGGGAAGAAAGGCATCTTTCCTGCCAACTTTGTCCAGGTCAGCCAAGGCTTTACTGTCCACAGTACTGTACTATTTGCTATGCATATATTTGTGTTCATCTACATTGCGTGCAACATGTGTAAAATATGATTTATTTGGTTTTAACAGGAGGTCCCAGTCTATTTGAGAGGACAGAGCAAGATGGAACCACGAAGCATTAGAACAAGTAAAATGCAGAGTTTGAATTCTCAGCACTTTCTGTTCTTTACTGTCATAACCTTAAAAAGCAGGACAGGAGTGGCAGACGCTTTAATCAGAAAGCATTTAAAGCAGTTTTTAAAGATGATTTAAAATTGAAACCCAACACAATTATGAAATGACTTTGCTTTCCAAAAAAGGGGAAAAAAATGATAGAAAACTAATGAATAAATGCAATATTCACTTCAATATTAATTCAGTTGTACAGCATCAACAGTTGCCTCAAGGCGCTTTATATTGCAAGGCAGATCGTACAATAATACATACAGGCAAAAAAAAACTCCAACAGCCATATGACCCCCTATGAGCAAGCACTTTGTCAACAGTTGGAAGGAAAAACTGCCTTTTAACAGGAAAAAACCTCTGGCAGAACCAGGCTCAGGGAAGGGCGGCCATCTGCCGCGACCGGTTGGGTTAGAGAAGGATGCACATTACAATTAAAATATGAGCAACTGCTTTGTTATAAAATAAAAGGAATTTCTAAAACACTGCTATCACTAACTTAGGATAGTCCAATTGTGTGCAAAAGGTCCAAATGAACCACGCTGGTAATGCAGCGTCATTTAAAACTACTCTAAGTAAAGTTCCTGCTAAAAATATGACTCTTGCTACAAAACGAGCCATCACAGCAATACAATAATATTCAAAACAGGTTGCTCTTGACATTTACCACATCCTTGCAATGCAAAGTATATCTAATTCAGCTGTAGAGAAAGAAAATGGACTTTGTGGGAACAGACATGCTCAGAATGTGAATAATTGCTCCAAGCTATGCAATCTTAGCACTTTCTTGTTGAAACTTGTTAACAATGCTTTCTAGCCCAAAGACACTGTTAAAGACCTCTAAGTTTTTCTTTAGAAGAACATTATGAACTTTACTTTGTCTGACAATTCTTTCTTTTTTTAGCGAGGAAGAAACCGACAAGAAAATGTGAGGTACTGTTTCCCTACAGTCCCGTGAATGAAGACGAAATGGAGCTGGTTGCTGGTGAGACTATAGAGATCGTCAGGGAGGTACAGTTCTTATCACCCTTATGGTTTTCACACTTATATCTGGTCTCTAAATACCAAACTGTGAGTCAAATGTTAGCAGTAGATTGTGGGCTTAAAATAACTAGGTTGTGGCTGGTGAAAAGAAATCTCTGCGATGACATGGCAGTGAATACCTGATAGCAGCTGCTGAGAAATGATTTCCCTTTCACTTCCTGAAGCTGCCCTGTAGTCAGAACCCTGCACTATAGCGATGATATGTAAATCAGGGTGTTGTCGATGTGTTTGCTCAGCCTGAACCTCTTTAGGTAAATAAACAAAGATTTGAATATGGCTTTATTTGATCGATTTCGTTTTATTTATAATTAAACTCATAGTTCACAGCAAGCATAAGTTTTCTGAAATCTATGTGAACTGATCAGACTAGTCCTGGCAGTTCTGAGGATCATTCATCAGACACCTTAAACAGGCCGATCAAGTGTCTGGAATGCATCACAAGATGATATTTCATGTAAACCTAAGGTGCTAATGCAGCTATTTACTTGTAATTTTACATATTTTTTGCTTAAGCAATGTTGAGGATAGTCAAGTCATCTTTATTTAAATAGCACATTTAAAAGACATCAAGTGTCAGCCAAAGTGCTGAACAGACGGATAATATAATCAAATAAAATGAATTAAAACAGATAAGATGGTTGTTGGTCTGATGGCTGACTGTATCCACAATTTACAAGAAATCTAAGAGTATTGTACAGATTTCAGTAAAATAAGATTCATTTTTCTGGGTTATGGCTGTTAGCAAGTCTCCTTGACTTCTCAGTAGATTTTAGTTTTCTCATTAATTTGTTTAATAGCGCCAACCAATGACAACAGAGATTGTAGAACTTGTTTTTCTGTACAATATATAATAACCTGTGGATTTTGATGGCTCATGACCTACTTTGCATGACAGATTGAAGATGGATGGTGGATGGGGGTGAAAAATGGCAAACTAGGAGCATTTCCATCAAACTTTGTCAAAGAAATTTTCAGTTCTCCCAAAGGTTGGTGGCAAAGTCAATTAACAGAGTTTTTTATAGTTTCATTTTTCATATATAACTTTTAACATTTTTCATCTAAACAGATGTAAAATACAATGAGGGCAAGGCAAGACCAAAACTCAATGACGCTGTGTTCAATAAGGAGGTTTGTAACAGTGGAAAAACTTTTCTAAAATATGTATGAGCTGTGTTCGTTTTACTTAATGCTGTCTTTGTTCCCATTCAGATAACTCAGAGGGCAAGTGTTAGGAACAAAGCAAAAAAATGTAAGTTCAGAGTTTTATACATTTACATCACATGCTAGCTTTCTCACATGAGACACTGGTTCTATTTCTGAACAGCATTTTAAAAGCTGCTAGACTAGTATACAACGTCAGTAGGACAAGTGGTAAATCCTTGTACTTTTACCTTTATGGGTGGGGTCAAGCCAAAATACTTAAGAGCAATATTCCTTGATTTACTACTTCACAAAGACATCAAAGTGAGCGATCTTCCAGGGTTAAAGGTTTATAACTTACCTCAAGTATTACAGTCTTTTGTAATCTTTGCTGTTCTTTGATTTAGTGTTGTTCCAGGGTGGATAGAATTAGTCATCACTAGTGAAACCTCCTCACACGTACGACAGTTTCTGCAAAGTTAATAATCATGTTATCTCTTAACACCGTATCTCCTCAGCTATGGAGTGTTGCAAAGTCATGTTTGACTACAAGGCCAAAACAGAGGATGAGCTGGAGCTGAAAAAAGGAGATGTTGTTAAGATACTGAACAAGGTTTGAGCACACTTCTTTATTTTTTTATCAGCTGTTCTATGCTGTCACACTTATGACAGACTAATAAATTCCCCTGGATAATTTGCTTTGTTGAAATGTACCATATGGTTCTTCCAGAGAAACCAGTTGTGTCACTTTCAAGACTGACTAGGCTTGCTAAGGAAAAAATATTCTAGATAGCTACTTCGTGTTGACACGTTGTGATCTGCTTGACTTTTTGATGACCTTAGGTTCAGAGATTTCAGATCCCTAAGGACAGAAGCTTGTTTTAACCTCTCTCAAATGACTCTTTAATCACCATCTAAAGGAAACAGCAGATGAAGGCTGGTGGGAGGGAGAGCTAAACGGCCGGTGCGGCTTCTTTCCTGATAACTTTGTCATGGTGATTCCACCGATAAACAGCTTGCAAGTGAGTGGACAAAAACACAATCTCAAACATAACCCCGTTGGACTGGAGTTTAACTGCACTGCAATGAAACCATGGGCATGCTTCGGAGTAATTGATGCTATGCATGCTTTTTTGCCATTTTGAAATGCCCTTTGAATATAAAATACATTATGTCTATTTTAGCATGTCTGCAACCAGTATTCAGTGACTCAGTACTGTCTTTAAATACCGTCTGCTTTGGAGTTACTCACTGAAATTTCCCATTTGTGGAAACAGTGTGTAGAATATGGGGCAGAGTACAAGGCACATGGAGTACCAGAAAACTTACTTTTTCATTTCTTTTTCCTCCTGTAGACGGGGACCATAAGCCAACCACCTGCACGCAACAACTCCAAGAAACTCTCAGGTAAGAGAACAGCATGAATGTTTCCCTGATCAAATACAGAAGCACAGTGGTTGAAGCTCTTTGAAAGTATGATGTGGAGCTTGACATTTAGAGATTCACGACCAAGTCGGAATTTCTGACTGCAGCAGTGTTTTGCTTGGCAGTGTGCTGACTGTTTGGCCTGTAATGGGTTAGGCAAGTCAACATTTACACAGTTACATAATAATTCAATAAATATATATATATATATTTTTTTTTTTAAATTATTGGCCTCTGTAGTGATCTATGAGAAAATAAAGACGTAGAGGGAAAAAAATACCCTGAAGTCAGAGGAACTATTTGAACATTTCTTGAGATTACATGCATTCCACATAACGATTCATCAGACGCCCTAGTAACATTTACAGTAGATATGAGACGTTTTCATCTTGTGACCATGTAAAGGAGGTTAAACAGATTTAAACACTCTGCCCTGTAGCACACAGCATAAACTCTCTAACCCACAAATGGGGCCACGCAGGGAAAACTCATCACAAAGAAATGCAAAAGAGCAGCAAATTCTGGCAACCGGAATCCTGATTTTTTGGGGAGATAATTTTTCCTTAGAAGATAACGTTAGCGATCAATCGCAGCAGTTATTGACTTTTTAACTTTTTTAGTTTAGTCTGAAATCTAATATTTTCTGTTGACTGAGTTTTGATTTTATATAATATAAGATTTCTAAACTGAATTAAGTATTGCTGTTGTATTTAAACAGTTTTAAGGAAGAGACTGCCCAGTAATGCACCCTTTGAATTTTGAAGAGGTAGAAATTTAATCTATGAATCACACAGCAGGATGTGTTTCGTGGAAATTGTTTTGTAGCATCAAAAGTGTCTGCCCAGACAGCTTTTTAAAAGGATTCAAAATATGCACCCTCACTGAAACTTAAATAGGCAGGTGAAAATAAGGCCAAAGGAAGCGGCACCAGTACTATGAGAATTACAGTGCAGCCTCGTACCAAATTGTACTCATCATTTCCACACAGTATCACTTGAAAGATTTTCACAGGAAGTCTCAGACTGTAGTAAGATGGGGGATGGTTAAACTGGTCATGTGACATAGTTTAGGAGTCTTGGAGGAAACAAGGGGGTGGGGGACAGATGAGAGCTCTGTCACAGATTTCCACTACCAGCAACAAGCAGCACTTGAGCTTCTTCTGCTCTGTGGATGGTTTATTTACGGGGGGAATGTTGCACAATGCGTTGCATAACACTCAAGGTAGGCTTCCTGTGTTTTCGTCCGATCCGTTATAGATGTCTGAGTTTGATGTTAAGACTAAAGCAACATTTTTTTGTCCTATTTCTTGAGGTCTTTGCATCAGAGCAGTTTTACTTCTTAGATTGCATTAATTCAACAGGCCTGTAACCACACAGCTCATCTTATCTGTTTGAGAATAATCACTTCACTTGCATGACAAACAGAGATCTGTCACATAACTTTAATGATTTAACCTCTCTCCAAGGTAAGTCCTCTTACAGGCTGTATTTGTTTCATATGAGATGACCCAGAGTGCCAGTGCCAGTTAAGACCTGGGAACTGTAACTACATCGCTACTAAATCTAGCTGTTACCTGATTTGCTCTAATTACGTGCATATCTTTTCCATAACACGCCACTTGTAAACCTTATGTTTGAACACCATTAGCATTTTTCTACACTATAATGCTTTTTGGACAGTCTTATAGTTCTTTGCAAAACAGTCATGCACTTTTTATCAAAAACTGAGGGCTGAATACTCAGAATCAAAATCAGGAGAAGCCACACTTGCAAATACAGTATTATTTAAACAATGGCATGTTTGCTCAGCATGCATGCCCTGCACAGCACAGCGACAGCACGCTCATTCACTCGTTCTGCTACAGAGAAAAACATCTGGGAAATGCTCTGCTGATCAAGAGAACTTTCAGCGAAACTGCAAATGTCTGATAAGACCTTTTTTTCCTGACAAAAGCACAATGTAGGACATCACTGCTTTTGTCTGTGCTGCCATTGTTATGGCCGTACTAAATAAAGTGCCTTGAGCATTTTAAATGAGGACTTGTTATATTTGTGTGACAAATGCAATTAGTAATCAGCGGTAAAATTTAATTTAATGGGGGTTTTTTTTGCAGTAAAGACAGAGGAATCAGCAATGGAGAAAGTCGGTCCAACAACAACAAAGACGAGTAGGTAGAGATGGTAGATGCTTTTATTTTTGTACTAATTCATCTTAAAAAAAATCCTGCTGTGGACTAATGTGATGATTTTGTTTTGCAGATGATAAACCAGAGCCTAAAGACCTAAGAAGCAATCCTCCAACCAAAGTTAAGCTTCCACCCATCATCAAACCCAGCCCGCCTCCAGTCAAAGACAAGCCGAACAAGGTTTTACCAAAGTGAGTTTTACAGAAGCGTCTGTGATGTTCTTTCTCACTACTTGTAACTCCATGTGAAACCACTTTCTGGAGACCTGACCAGAATAGTTATTCATATGCAGCCTTTCTAAAGCAAATAGGCCCTCAGAAAATGTCAGGAACACTTTCTCCTCTCTGGTCTGGCACCAACAGTGGAGCATTTAGATGTTAAAGGTTTTTGGTTGCAACCACCAGTTGCTATGGTTTCCTTAAAGAAGAATGCCAGGATGCCTGACATTTAGTGGCTCAGTGGAAATTGTGGGATGAGTCAGATCAGGCCGAAACAGACGAGAGCAGCCCATTTCCTGTTTCCTGAGCAATCGCTCACAAACAGCCTTACACACACAAAATTGAGAAAACAAAAACAGGCCCGTCTTGAGAAGAAGAACGCGCTTTTGAAAAGTGTTTCCGTGCAAATTTGCCTTTTCCAGCTTCTTTAAGACTCCTCCTTCATGTTTATCTAAGCTTATCCCACAAGGCTTTTACAGCCAGGCTGATTTTTCAACAAACACATCAGTTACAACCAGCATTTAAAATGTTATAAAACTTAAGTAGTAACTCTGAATACAGAGTTACTATAGAATATTATAGTGATTTTTTAAGACTTCATTTGCCATGCTCTGCACCTGCACCTGCAACAGCACCAGCGCCCAACTCTATTCAGGAAACCAGAAACCACATACAAACTCTCCAACCCTCTGCGTCAGTATTTCTTCACTAAAAACATCAATAGATTTTTTTATTTGTCTGTAATTTTAAAAAAAAGTGTTCATTCGAAGGTATATTGTTGTTTTCTGTAGAACCAATGGTGATGTGGCTACTGTTCCACCGAAACAACCGGAGGAGAAGGAGACCGACGAGTTTGATGGATTGGAACTGCCGACTGAAAAGCTGAGCCATCCCACAGCAAACAGAGCCAAACCTCCACAGAGGAGACCACCGTCAGGACTCCCCATAGCAGCACAAGTATGTCCGCATTAGCGACCAATACCGATCGATCTGTGTGGCAGTGTGTGAAGAGCTTCACAAGAAACACTGAAATTATAACCTGCATACCCACATGAGTAGGGTTGTCAAAACAAGTCATTCTCAATACTAAAAACGACTGTCAGATAAGATACTCATTTGCAACAGTATTGATGCGGACAGCGTCGTCTTTGCTTCCTTCTGCCGACACACAACCTTTACACAGTACCTGCATGCAGGCGTCCACACAGGCCTTCCCCTTACCAGCAGCTGAAGCAGTTGACAATTACAAGACTACAAGAATAAACACCTGGAGGAATTTTGAGAAGTCAAAAAAGCTTCCATTTTAACAACCCGAACATGAATATTATTGTCGCGCTTGTTCTAATCTTTATTCTTGTTTTGGGGGTTTGAGGTTTTTTTTTTGCTCCTGTGGTATCAAAAATGGTATTGGGTATCAAGTATTTTCCTGGGTATTGATACAGTGTTAACCAATATTTCTGCAGATGAATCAAAGGTTTATCAGACTTGTGTTGTTGTTATGTTTTGAGACCATCTTCACACCTGAAGCCCTGAACCTTTATAGGCAGTACTCCATGGAGGTGTACATGGGAATGCTAATGATATCTGATATCATTTGAGAGTACAATAAACAGTCTTTACTCTGCCACCGCCCTGGTTTAAAGTCCATGCTGTGTCCAGTTGCACTGATTTGTGCAGTTGTGACTTTAGGGCAGCTAACTGTTATTGCATTCATGTGTTTTGGTTCATGCTCTGCATATTGAGAGTTTCTGAAAGGGACCATCTCCTAATGTATGCTACACATTGTCCCAATCTGATTCTCCTGACGCTGTCAGAAGACAATTTTACAGAAAAGTGACCAGTTTTTATGGACAGCCCTTCTTGCTCACTGACCAAGAAGACTTGTTATGACTTCTTGGTCATAACAAGTCTTCTGGAAAAATGGAAGAATTAGAAGAAAGAGAAAGCGAGCTTGTACTTGACCGCCTAAAAAACCCACCTAGCTGTTAATCCTGAAAAGCTGAAAAACCAGAAATCCTAAGGCATGCTGTTGACATTTAAACTTGACTGTTCTTCCTTTGTACTGCTAGAGCGCCACGGACCAGACAGATGCAGAACCAAAAAAGTTTGAAACGGAGATACCGGCTGGCTTGCAAAAGGTTTGTAACACTCTGTGTTCTGGGTGAAATATGAATGAAATCACATATGTTTGAGTTCAAAAAGTTGTTCTATGTAGGAAAATGTGCAGTATGAATTTTTTCACAATTAAAATCATTTCAGACAACAGAAAATCTTTTGCCCACCCCTCCAAAGCCCGATCTTCGACCCAAGACACCACCTCCAGTTCGACCAGCACCACCCAAAGTTCTCGTAGATAACAAAACTGTGACCTTTAAAGACGAGCCAACGGTGGAGTGTCTGCAGGCTGAGATCAAAGAGCTCAGGATGACTTTGGAGCTGCTTGAGAAACGACAGGAGTGAGTACAACTCACTTGTTTTGTAGCCATGTTTGAAACCTGAGACACGACAGGTTTATGACAGGCTTAAAGTTACTTTACAAAATTAAGACAATTTTGTAAAAAAGATCTTCATCACATTTCAGCTAACCCTCTTCTAAAATAAAAAAAGAAAGATGCCTTGTAGCACAAACATACACAGGAAGTGAGTAATTCAAACCTAGCAGAGAAATACAAATGAATGTAACTGTGCATGTTCCATCATAGGAAACCCCCCCCCCCCCTTTCCAAACAAAAAAGCCTGACTCAACAGCTCTTTTGTATCTCTTGATCTGAAACGTTACAGCAGCCTGAGTAATAAACATGTGCTACACTCTGCAGAGCTGTAGACATTTCATTTCCTGATCAGTGATCTTCTTAAGCCTTTTGAACTCACCAACCATCAGTTTGAAACTCAAATTACTGTTGTTCCCTAGTCAGTAGCTGAATGTTTTGCATTGTACCAGTAAAACCTTTGACAGTATATGTAAATTACAGGCAAATACACAAATCCTAATGGGATGTGTGTGAAGACTTCTGTAACTGTATTTCAAGCCGTGTTTGTGTAATCAGTTTTCTAAACGTATAAAAAGATTTTCTAAATGCAACTGATATTTGTGAATGTGTATTCAAGATCAGTGTGTGCATAATGCATGCATAGATCTGTAAATTCCTACACAGTTATTAATAGATGCAACTAAACATTTTGATCCAGCAGCTTCCTGCTTGGCTGCTATGGTAGACCTACAAAGGCATGTGGCGATCTGTCTGTAAATCTGAGGTGTTGTCTGCTCTGAGGTCAGACTCACAAGCTCAAACATACCACCGACTATAACACCTGGTGATTTCAAGTATTTAACTGCTGAATGGGTCGGGTCATGGCTGTGGCTGCAGTTGCAAGCTTGACTACAATGAAATCTTAAACTGCTTTAGGTTTAAGATTCACACGTCCGTGTGTTTTCAGAAAGTATAGCGAGTGATAGTTTGTAAAAATATAACAGAAGTCCTTTATTGCTGAGACGTATGTGTGTAAAAACTCGAGTTAGTCATTAACCTGTGCAGTTTGGATCATCAAACAGGCGTTTTTTAGCGAATAAATTTTTTATTTATTTATTTATTTACCCATTTTAAATAATCCCTGTATGTGTTCATTATTTTTGTGGCGTATGGAAGATTGCAATGGGTTTGTGTAGTGTAACCCCAATTTCTCCCAAGGGAGACAAAAAAGAGACTTTCACTTAGACAGCTGCATCTACAAAAACAAAAAATGTAAAACATTTGCATATCTGAGTACCAGATTTTGAGGTTTGTGTGTTGTTGTTGTTGTTTTTTTTAACATAAATTGCACCCACACCAATGCCCTAGCATATCTGCAAAACTTATATTACCATAATAGTTCAATAAAATTAAACAATTAAAATAAATGTCTTTCCTGTTAGAGCTACAGAAGTAACTTTCTAAATGTATCCTTATCTTGACTGGCACTGCACAGTGTTGTTGACCTATTTAGACTTACCAGCATCTCCAACCTCCTCATTTTGTTCTCTTTGTCTCTTTTTATAAGGCGAGACATGCAGGAAGTGAAAGAAGAACTGAGGGATGAAAGAAACAAAAGACTAGCATTGCAGGTCAGTGTCTTGACTTCTGTGAGTGTTATTACTTACTGCCTGCTGCATAATGGGTGAAAAAATAAGCAGCAGTTGTGGTTCCAAGATCACGAGCGCAGTATAATCAGTTGTTTAAAAGGGTTCTTTTTGTTGTTGTTTCTTACAGGAGGAAGTGCAGAGTTTGAGAATGAAGCAATAATCCCAACACAGACTGTGACTAAGCTGCTTGTCTGACACTGTGCCATGCGAGCTCTTGGACTGCAAATTTCAGAAAATGAACATTTTTTCTGACACTGAGAAAGTAAAAAAACAACAAAAAACCCTCCCTAAACAGTATAGCTGGAGTTAATATCAAGCTACTCCTGTAATGGAGTGAAAGAACCAGATCCTCCAGAAGACCTTTAAGTAACATGCTGTTTGATATTGGAATGCCATAAATCTCATACAGGTCCTCAGTTGGGTGCGCCTGGAAGCAAATTACTGTTTTACATGTTTTCTTTTTTGATCGTCTTCTTTATTACTTTTATTGTGGATTACAGGTTAGGCTATTTTTAATATCAGAATTTGTAATATATGCAGCTGTACATAGGAGGAAATATTGTTAAGTCTTTTACAAAGAGCTAAAGGATAATTTACATCATCATAATGGGCTTTGTTACCTGAATGTCAAGTGAGATACTACTGTCCAAACTATGCCATGTTAGTGAATTTATGCAATGTAATGTAATGTTGCAAAGATCCACTAGGGGGCCCTCTTTGTCTATTTTTTTTATTTTATTTTTTTTTTACATAAGGTGTTACGTTTTTCTGTGATTGCTGGGATTTATGGAAATGACCTGGCAAAGTAACCTCGCATTAGAGAAGAAAAAATAGAAGAAAAAAATACATTCTTCATCCAAAACAGTAACTGTGTTAACATTTAAGATTTAAGCGAGTGGCTCATGTTAATGGATAGTGCCTTAAGAGGGGGGAAAAAGGAAAAGAAAAGAAATAAAACTGTGATTTAATGCACCAGGAGTTTGTGGTCAGTTTGTGTCAGAGAAACACTGACTCACTCTTAAAACACCAAAAGGTGACTCATCAGTGGATGCAGAACACATGGGAGGAAAATTATTGAGAAATTATTACATCCATCGCAGGAACAGCTTTGGACAATGCAGTCTTCACAACATGCTAATGGTAGTGCCTCTGTGAAGAGCATATATGAACAATACCTGGAGCTATTTAGGAATCAAGCTCTGAAACTCTCGTGGAAACAAAAAAATATTGTGACTCATGCCCATTATTGATGCGTTCCTTTATGGACAAACAGTAAAACAAAGAGTCTGCTGACAGTGCAGAAACCTCTCATAGGATATCTAAAAACAATAATGTCCTCTCTGTGAAGAACCGCATGTGATTTAAATGTTTATAGAAGGTAAATTCTTCTTACACCAGAGATACACCAATAAAGTGGAATATCTGCACAAATACTTTATTCCTTAGTCTTAGATGGTGAACTCTGCACAGTGTACAGTAACACTGGTGGAATTTAAACTCTGTAGAGAGCACTGAAAATGGAGTAGTGAAAAAGTTATCAGAGCCCAGAGGTCACACACACACACAAACAAAAAATTCCCAAGTTAAATTTAGAAATAATGAAAGATGTTGACAAAGAAAGCGAGACAGATGCTGAAACAAATCTGGATTTGTACAGCTTGTACAGATTTGTGATCCAAGCTTAAAAGGAACATTGTATTCTGATTCTCGGCTCAGCTATTTTTTACTTTGGAACCGTGAAGCTTTGCACAATTAAAAAGCACGTCATTTCATAATGCCTGCTCTATAGCCCCTTAGTTGAGCCATCGCCTGAAACAGCAGTAACATTAGCTCCAGTAAGTGTCTTTAAACATCCTGTCCACCCTAAAAGCCCACTTCCTACTGAGTGTCCAGCTTCCAGAAGCCAAGTAAGGGGCAGCTCAGTGCTTATGAGCACCACCTCTCCCTCTCGAAGACCAAACTGTAAACCTATTATCATATTTTTCCTCATTGTTTAATTGTAAATTAAAGATGTCACCTTTAATGAGGTATCCATACAGATATATTTTCTTATTGTTTAAACTTTGAAGTCAAATAAGTTCAGTTATGGCTTTGGTTACTAGATTTCAATCATGTTGATGTTTACTTAACTTTACCTATGTAAAAAATACACATATATAATTTGGATCTAATTGCCCTAAGCAAAATGAAAATGACATTGTTCACAATATTTAGTCGTGTCTCTAGTAAAAGATATTTTTTGGACCCTTAAAAGGACTGCACACAATCAAAGCTACGAATTTCTCTAAGCCACTGACCACAGGAGAACCTTTTCCAAGACCTCAACACAGAAGATGCTATCAGAAATTGGAGACCCGAAGGCAAACCTGAGCCCTATCTGGTCCTGCAGCACAAGAACCAGACCGGCTTCAGGGTGCCCAAAAAAAGGAATATTATTGCCTTACAATGATGTGTATTTTAGGGCATACTAACCCTCTCTATGGATTTACAGATGTGTCAAGAATTCATGCTAACATTTATTGTAAATCACCAAACCACTGAAGGGTGACTTGTGATAATATTCAACACAAACACACCACCAGTGTGGACAATTCATCAATGTTCTGTAAGTCTTTACTGGCAACCAAACATTGTTCCAAGCTATAAACTCACATGGAACAGATTTATTACACTAATACACAGAGTTGATATTGGACATCTAAGCTCTGAAATTCGGAGCAGCTGAGCTGTGGGAGTGATGATAACACGTCTCTGAAGACCACATTAGAAACAGAGTCTGACTTTAGTCATTATGTGAAGCGTTTGGGGCCATTACCCTGCACGAGACCACAGATGGAATTAGGCTGCCAAGTAAGCACCTTGTGTGCATGAGCCATGCTAATGGCCTCTGTGGTCAGCTCTAAACAAAACACCTCCAATCCCAGGACATACAACCTAGTCCAGAGAAACTGGGCAATGAGTGCAGCAGAAGGTTGCAAGCGTCATCGTTGGATTAACTTCAATTTCATTTTCACTAATAACTGGCTAATAACTACATCCAAGTTTACAGCAGTGACCCAGACTTGGAAGGAGCTATGGGAGACCCTCTCCACCACAGGAGGCATCCAAAACCAATTCATCCATTAACACTGCGATTATTTTTCTCTAAATCTGCATCAAAAGCACGAAAAAAAAAAAAATCATAATGGGCATATGAAACAGTAAAATCACCAAGAAAGACAATTCAACCATGAGGTCAACAGAATAAGAGAAGAGGTTAGCAGGTTAGCATTGTAGCAGAAAGTAAATTAGGATTGGGGTGCAGGAGAAGAAATTAGCCACGAGCATATAAAAGGTTATCAACCAACAAATGAGCAGTTTTAGCAGATATTATCAGGCAGCTCTGAAAAAACAGACAAGCAATTAAAAACAAAAAAACAAAACAAAACAAAATGCAGGTGTGCAGCCTAACAGCTCCGTGCTTCACTAACAAGCTAGCATGTTCACGCAACATCCTAATGCCCATCTTACATATATGGAATAATTTGAAGTTAAACGTGTAAAACCAACAGGTCACATGAGTCGAAAAGATTCATGTTCCAGAGACGCTGAACATGTCAGACAAATCTTAGCACTAGAGGTCTGTGGTGTAGACCACAGAGTTCATGGAACCTGGCCAAGAGCCTTACTCCAACCCTGCTTCAGCTTCGACTGCAAAGGCAGTAGCAACAGGTAGCAGAGTTAGCATGTATTAGACTAAAAAGCTAGCAGGCTACTTAGCTTTGTGGAGGGAAACATTATGTTGTAGTTTCCGGATTTCAGTGGATGAAAGAAAACTCTGTGTTAAAGTGGCCAAGAGCCAAACTGAATAGTTGTATCAAGAACAAATGGGCATCAAGCAGCAAATGTGAGGAACCTTTCTCCTGTTATAAATTATACTTTGCTCTTTCTTTCTTTCTGAGTCACTCCCTTTACAGATCAGATTAAAACAGGCTGTAAAAAGCAGCAAACATCACAAGATCGTTTGTGACGAAATTCTTTTATTTTCACACTGTATTTGTTTAACTTTTTAAGTCACATAGGAGATATTGATGAATAAAAGTGGCAAAGGTGATCTTTTCATTAATGAAACAAATTAGGGATTATTTTTCTCTTTCTCCATCTTTATTATTATTATTGAAAGTATATTTATGGCCCAAAGGTGTAGTGATTCTTGTTGTGTTTGTCTGACATTTTGACATGTTTGCTTATTTTATTTTATTTATATGATATTAGATTTGTACACACCGATCAGCCACAGCATTAATATATCAATAGCACTGGATATCATGTTGCAATACTAATGCAACATGATATCCAACACTAATGTTCTTCCTGAAAAACTTCGAGGTCTGGATTTATTTTAAAATTCAGTACCTGTTCCTCCCATCCCAGCAAACCTTACAAACGTGGTATTTATTCTTCCACATTTCAGAGCTGTTTTAGCAGTGCAGGAAGAACATCAACAATTAGATAGAGTTTCATTTTGAAGCTGATCAGTATATACCTTTGGACTTCAGTATCTGATGTTGTTGAATACACGTATATATGCTCATGAAGTGCTTTGATTTATCCTGCAAATTCATTATCCTATAATTGTTAGTGGAAATAGTCTTTGTTTAAACAAACAGTTCTTTTTTTTACTTATTGACACTTTCATTTTTCATTTATTACATACACAAATCTACTTTTCATTTCTGTAATTAAGCACCAAGTTTAATAGACTGATTACTTCAAGTGTCCCATCATTCCCCACATTCACTCCACACCTCTTCCATATGAATTATTCAGTCTTTGAGACCTCCATTGGTTTGGTTAATCAGTCAGATTTATCAATGCTACATAAGAAGTGCAATATCTCAGTCTGCTCTGTCAGAGCTAAGTATGTCAAATATGACTAATTTCCAGTCACTTTGTATCTAACGCAGGTTTTTGGGCTTGAGGGACACCAGGCCCACCCAAAAGTCTATGTCTCATCTCCTCAGGGCTCACTCTCCTTAGCCTCATGTTTCTTAGTAGTAATGCACTCTTCCAATAGTTCCTGTTCCTGTCCCCAGGATATCTGGCTGGCCGTTCCTCCAGATCTCTCGGATGATGCGTTCCCTCTCCTCCAGTCGCTGTGCACGCTCCAGCTCTTCGGCTGAAGTAAACACATTCACGCTCAGTGTCCCATCCGACTGGCTGGTGTGATTGCCAACAGCGATTTCTGTGGTGGGCAACGGAACAGTCGCCTCTACATCGTCCACTTCTTCATCTTCATCATCGTCATCACTGTCCTCATCCTCCTCGTTGATGTCCTTTAAGTTTTTTTTCTCAGGAGTGGAGGGGGTAATGGTAGTGCGTGGCTTGCAGGAGATCCGAATCACCAGTAGGCAGAGTGTGAGTATCAAGCCAAAACACACTCCAAGCACAAAGTAAAGGCCAAAACTCTCTGGATTTGCTAAAGAAGGGACAAAAACAAACTGCATTAGATACAGTTAAATGTTATTAAAAAATGAGAGGCAAATTCACACTGTGGCTTACCTTTGATGTGTGCATAGGCAGCAATGCTGTTACTTAGGAGGTCCATTTCCTTTTTCTTCACATCCATGGTGACTCGGTTTTCTTCTTTTACACCTGTAGCAGACATTTGACACACAATATTTAATCTGACTGCTATAAGATACAAGACACTTAATCAATCAGTTCTCTTCCAGGTGCTTAAAGTCGCTTTTGAAATATCTGCCAGACTTCTTTTTCTCCAGGTTTATATTCTGTGCAGCGCCGGGATGTCAAACCCACTGACCACAACATTCTTCATATGCCTGGTGGGTGGGATGAGGCCTTCGAGTCCCCAACAAAAGCTCCTTTGTGTCACTATTAACTACTAGCTTGATGTGGGATCATCATAATGCATTTGGCACATGGCACATGGCACTTTGCCTCAGCCATTCTCTCTGAACCATGACAACCCTATATAAATGAGGTCAAGAGTCAATTTCCCAAGTAGCCACAACGGGCTCCTTCGTGTCAGATGGGACTGTCAGATCGATTTGTAAAGCTCAGAGGAAGCAGCCAGTGCACGGTTGACATTTTTCTAATGTTTAGCCATTGTTTCCTTGACATTTAAGCTGCCTTATCCTCCCATATCCTGTCAGTCAAATGAACTTTGTTGTGCTTCTTCCGCTCCTATGTGCAGCCATAACTTCTGTCACTACCCAAGGATGGCATCATAGAGCTGCACCAAGTTACATGAAAGAGTGCTGGTGACAACAGAAAAAAGACCAGTTCAAAATAACACACATACACACGTTAGCACCATCGCTCTTTAGCATGTGCTTTGTGTTGTGGCTGACTGTGGAAAAAAAACATTCTTTTCACGAGAAATGATGACGAGCGCTGAAACCATCTCACTCTAACCTGTGTGCGCTCTTCTCTAAGTTAAACCACATGTCACTGTGCCTATAGAGATCATATGGACTCGTTCATATTGCACAAACCACATGTTTATGTTTCCATTTACCTCTAAATTGCACCCAGTGATAATCTCAATGTCTGATCTCTATCATGATGTGACTACCTCAATAATTTATTTAGCATGTGTGCTTACTTGTTGATGGAACTTTTAGTAAAAATTCAAGCATGAAACCACACATGTGTAAACCATATGCAATATGGCCCACTAATGAACTTTAAAACACAGCAAACATTCTCTTGTAAAAGTAGAAGTAAACAGAAAGTGGAGTGCAGATAAAGTATAAAACTTACCACAAAAATGAAACTGTGGAGCTTTAGTTCCAGCTCATATTGTTCTGAGAAGTTGGAGAACAGATGCAAAATTATCACGCTCCTCTTTTCTCTCTGCTGTTGGATCACAGCTTGTGATCTTTGGTCTTCAGGCTAAATAGTTGATTTGGCCACCCTGAAAAAAAGAGCAAATACACACACAGACACGTCAAGCTATGTTAGAACCAAACTCAGTGAGGCGTCTGCAATGCAAACAAAGACAGACCTATTGCAGGTTACGTGGTCCAGCAGGAGACCAGAGGCAGACTTTTTGCATTTTTTAGTGCTTAAGTTGTTTCAACATAGAGAAAAAAACACAGGTATGGCCAAGTTGTGCATATTAGTGTCATAAAAGCAACAGGAAAAGTAACTTGTAAAGAAAAAGTGTTTTTTTTTTATGTCTGTAAATACATTTGATTAGATCTTGGGAACTAAATTATTTTGTGATATGAACTTAGTGGGACTTTGTTCTATGACTTGAAGATACTCCACATTTAGACTTTTATGCATAGAAAGCTGGGAACAACATCAGATCCAATTACAAAGATACTAGCAAAATGAGTACTGACAGCTAAAAAATCCCAAAAAACATAGGGTCCCCTTCTGACTCTGTAGGGAAGAAACACCTATTAGATGTAAAGCTGTCATCAATAGTAAAATACAAGCGAGGTGTTTCTACTCTCCAGCCTCAGGGACCTGTAATGCTGCTCTCCCATTGCAGCATTGTGCAAGGACGACAAAACAGAACATTTTGAACTTTGAACAAGTGACACAAACTTGAGATTTTTCTTTTTGTTTCTAGCACCTCGAACAATAACAATCAATTTTCTATACTTACTAAAATCACTATAGCGTCCTGAGGGTTTAGCGGTTTACATGCCAGGTGCAAAGCTGAGTGCTGTGAAAATGCTGAGCTGTGGAGTTTTTTGACTTGCACCCCTGTTTAGGAAAAAAAGATCCTCTGCCAGCAGCAGTTGGTTTAGCTGAGCCTCTGAGCTTTCCATGGCAGATTTTGATCTTGCTGACTCTTGGCAGATCCTATGCACTCTACACAGTGCCTAACTGAAACAGCACTTGGGGGGGCCAAGTGACAGAGCGGCCGCTGTGGGAGCATGCTTTCCAGGATGACCACCTTGAGCCGTACAGGAGGCAGCTGCTCCACGATGCAGTGATAGACCCGTGCACTGCCTTCCAAACAAGCTTCCTCTCTTTATAAAAAGTAGATAAACAAATAATGAACAGATTCATCTCCGATCTCCTGCTGAGGCGAATTCCACTGGATGATAGAATCCACATAATGGAATCTATCATCATTATCCAAGCCGAGCAGAAAAGCACAGACTTTAAATGAAATATTTTGTTTTTGTCCCAGGGGTAATAAAGTAAATGGCTCGGATGACTACAGTCTTTTTAAGCCAAGGTCAAAGCTAATGATTGGGTACCTAAAGAACATTAACTGACCTCTACTCACACTGCTATGCAGCAAAACTGAGCTTTAGGATCTTGGCATCTGGTACTGGTGGCTAATGATAACTGGAGAGCTGTTTAAAACCTATTTAAACACTAATTATCCTGGCTTGTTGTTTTGTTGTGTGTTTGTTTTAGTCAAACAAGGAAATTATTAACAGACCTGCTCCTCTGCAGCAGCATGCACTGTATCATGACTCAGTTCTCAGTCATGTTCTCAAAGTGACCCAATCTGTTTTTCTTTTGCAGGTTTTGCACAACCCGAAAGCTTTAAAAAGGAGACCTTCATTATAAGAAACCAGTCATGCTTTGGGGACTTGATGTATCATTTCTTTCCATCATGTTTTACTCAAACAGTTGTTAAATTTTTAACTGCCTGGAAAATATTGTGACCTTACTCATCTGGTTTGAGGTGCAGAAAGAGGCATTTCTTTTGAAATTCTGCCTTTTTTTTGGCCCTGTTAAGGTAAAAAAAAAAAAGGCAGAATTTCTGAGGGTCTCATACCCTCAGGTCAAAGACTTAGGCTCACCCCGTCTGAGGTCTTCTTCATGTCTCTGAATATTAAATAATCACTCAAATCATCCTGACATTATTTTCTTTTTTTCTGTGCGAAAAACACAGTCTATATTTTATGTCCTGTTATATCAAAACAACTATTATTCCAGTAACAAATGAAAAGGGCATCAACTAAATTACCATTCATCTCTGTGCATGTGTGTGTGTGTCACTCAGCAATGAGCTGTTTGTGTCAGATCACTGCAGAAGCCAAGATAAACACATCGTGACGTTGTGGCCTGAGAAGAGGTCAGGCGCTATTTTTGACCAGGCATTGTTTGCTTTGGTTTAGAAGAAATAGCTGAGTGGAGGACCAGCTACAAAATGTTATGCAGTGTGATATTTTTGTTGTTGTGGTGATAACCACAACTGCTCTTCCTTCCCACAAGGTTTATCCCTTTCCACAGAGACAACCTCCAGGGCAAAGCCTTTCCTCTGCTTCATTGTCTTAGATAAGTAGGTTGAGACAGAATAGACTGGGCTGTTTACTGTACACAGATGTCAGCTGAGCGATTTATCAGGTGGCTCCTTAGATGGGCAGCTTTCCAAGGCAAAGGTCTGTCACAGAATAGACGCACTTTCCCCCCTGGATAGTTCACCAGTTACAGTAGTTTCATAAGCCATCCAACCATATTGCTCCTCTTCCACAATGAAAGTTGTAACTCTTCAGTGGAATTTACGTGAGGAGTCAAGCCACATTTGATTTATACACAGAACATGAAAAGGTCAGATTACACAAGGAAGCCTGTCTGTGTTATTTCCCCATTGTAATGACACACACACTGAACCACAGAAGAAAATAAATATTTTTAATACCTCAAATTTCTTTGCAGCTGCAATGATTCCTAGCACAACAGGCAGTGTGTCTGTGGTTTGCCTGGGATGAAACTTCACAAAATGAAAATGCCCAGATCTACATGCACACACAGACTCTCTCTAGTAGCCAAGATCACAAAAGCTGCTGTTAGGATTTATAGCATCTTTTTTTGGTCTTAATTATGCTCTTATTTAGTAGCTGCCGATGGGAAAAAAAAAACAAAACTCTATTGATCTACTCTAAATGATCCACAATGTCAAACAAACATATTATTATTATTATTATTATTTCTAAATTGTTAGAAATCAAATTGTTAGAAATCAAAGAAAAGGGCAGACTTCCATCAAATATGAATTCTGCAAACAT